CCCCAAAACCCCAAAACCCCAAAACCCCAAAACCCCAGCAAAATAAAATAATACTGAAAATATGATAAAGCACTCGGATAGCCTAGACTCTTGGATAAAAGGAGTGGCTATTGCAACAAGTAATGACCCTCTAGAATACCCTAATTTTGAGTTTTCATCCAAGTAAGCTTACTCATTGATCAAGTAGGGAGTTTGACAATGTTCCTACTGTCATTCCAAGATTTTTATTTCATATAAACCACCAGCTTAAGTCAGTTTGTGAATATATTAAAGACAGAGATTCTGAGGAGAGAACTGCTGCCCTCCGAGCTAATGTGGAACAAAGGTTTGCCGAGACAGATAAAACCTTCAGCCAATTTATCTCTCAAGATATCTCTAAAATCCAAGAGAAGATAGAGAAAAATTGTAGCTCAATTGATCAGTTAGTAACGAAAGCTGAGCAATTGAATCAAGAGATACAATCATTAGGAGCTTTAGACTTCAAAAAGATGCTTAGTGGCATAGGAACAATGGCAATCTCAAATAAAAAGTCCCCTCGAAAATTGATGGCTCCTTCAGGAACGAAAGCTAAACCATCTACTCAAAGAAGTATTTCTTTACTAATGTTTAGAGGACCGTAGAAGGAAATCCACAGTTAAGCATATCGAACATGCAGATTTGTCAACTTTACTTCCAAAAAGCGAGACATATGTCCACAATGGAGGCTTCAAATCTCAGAAAAATCTTGGAACAATTGAAGATGACGAAAGTAACGAAGATAGTTCCAAAGGAATTAGAAATAATGAAAGAAATCCCAGCAATAGGTCAGGAAGTCTACCTTCTTTTTCTAATGTAACAAATTTGAATGTGGAATATCACAAAAGAGGCGAAGATAACATACCATACTCTGTAAGTTAGTTCATTTATACCTAGGATACAACTTCAGATGATGAAGATGGAGACGAACCAAAAATACTTTCAATGAACATGCTAAGAAAAGTCATAAAAGTCAATATTAACAGACATATAATATGAAACGATATGCAAAAGAGCAAGAATAACGATCAAGCATTCCTAAAAATGTTTGACAAAATTAGAGCATCCATATCTGATCTTGAAGCGAGGCATGAAGATAAATTCAACAACGTTTCCACTGAATCACAAGCCTTAGAAGAGAAAATCCTGGAAACAAACCAGAAGCTAAGAACCTCCAAAGGGGAACTAAGAAGGTTGATTAACCATAACATTGACAAAATATCGATCCTGAATACCAGATCAATAGAAGTTGAAAAGTTCAACAACACAACAAAGAAGAAAATTGATGAGATATTCGAAAAGATAAAAGACACAAGATCAGAAGCTCAAGAACGTGCAGAAGCAGTTGAGAGACGAGTCCTCTCTAAGTTTGACAAATTCAAAGACATCACAGAACAAAAGTTTAACATTACCAATAACGGTACATATTTGCATAACCTCTCTAGAAATCACAAAGATGAAGAACTTCGTCCTGGAAATGGTCGAAATGATGCGACAAGAAACCGCTGAGAAGATCGATACCGAAGTAGCCAAATTTACAGAAGCTTTTACTAAGATTAAAGATGAACTAATCCAGAAAACTGAAAGTATTCTATTGAAAAACAAAAAGAGCATCTCAAATATCAAAAATAGATCGGCTGATTACTTTAGCAAGTATGATACGGCTCTTCAGTACATTCAAAGAAGGTTTGATAATATGAATACCACCTTTGAGGACTATCAGAATAACTTCATGCAGCCTACCAAGATGAGGGAAGGCAGAATGCATGCAATACAAGCTAAGCTCAAGGAGCAAGAAGAGTCCAGAGAGACTGAGTTTAAATATTTCAAAATGATCCTCCAAAAGTTGTTAATCTCCTTTGAAAATTCCATCCTTATCAGTGGAAATGATAATGAGCAAAAGTCAAAATCTGTTGTGTATTCAAGTTTGTTTGATGAGAACAGTAAATTTTATCAAAAGCATTCAACCCCTTGACCTGACGGAGGGAATGAAGACTCAACACCTTCTCAAAACACGAGAGATAAAATAAATCGTACTGTCATGAGTCAAAACTCCGAATTTCTCCCTTCTCTATCTAAAAGAGTAACTACACAAAATTTTAAATTTGCAAAGCAAAGAGGAGACCTTGATACTCTTGAGAGCAACACTCCTATACAATCAAAACTAAAGAGACTTTCTTCAACAAACAAGCAATTAAACGTACCCCAAACGACCTCACCAGGAGACAAGAACTTACACAAAAGGATTCTATTTTTAAAAGAAATTCTCGAAATCAACCCTCATTTAAAAGAGAACAAATCAATGCTAAGAGATCATTTCAATGAGCCGATCTTCACTCCTGACAACGAAGAGAACCAATCCCAGAAAAACTCACCGAGGAGGAACAACAATAAAACAGTGATAGTGTCTGATAGCCTCAATCTGAACTTAGAATCTTCAGATGTCCCAAAGACCAAATTTATGGCAAGCATGCTCAAGAACAACGACATTAAGCATCGTAGAAAGACAAAGGCCTTGATTAGGAAGGAATTTGAGTTCGATAATGAAGCATCAACCCCTAGCAACAAAGAAGGAGGATCCACCAGAAGAGACAGCACTAAAATGCAAGCCTCTGGAGATAATCTTAGCCCTGCATCTCCTATCCCAACTCTTAAAATGAAGGTGCAGATGGAAAAACAAGGATCTTCACCTTTTAAAGTTGACAAACAGACTGAATAGCCATCAAATATTTCAACAGTTACAGAGTGCATTGGGGTTTTGGGGTTTTGGGGTTTTGGGGTTTTGGGG